CCCCAAAACCCCAAAACCCCAAAACCCCTTAATCTATAATTCTATGGATTTCTTGATAAAAATAAAATTATCAATTCATAATTTGGCTGTCCTACTAGTTAAATAAGGTAATTTGTTAATTATCTTGGATAAATTCTTTATTGTCAGAAATCAAATATATTGTCACCTGCTAGTAAATAAATTTCTCATACTACTCCCACCCGCTCTGGAAGTCAAAGGTCTTTATTTTTCAAAAGCATTCAACTATCTAATTTCATATAAATTATCTAATTTTGGGGTTATCAGATTATGTTTATATAACTTTATCGAACAAAGAGTTTTAAGGATTTGTTTATCACCTTCAGATTCATCTCCTGGGTAAGAAAGCTTCTACTCATAATCTTCGAAGCATTATTAAAGAAATTTGATGGGCTAGAACTACCTTTAAGTATTTATCAAAGTCCATATCTATCTTCTCTCATGCTAGGTATTAACTATTTATTTCTCAAATTGTTATATTTCAGGGTGACTATTGTAAGTAGTTACAGCTGTCATTGGTCTGATTATTTTTATTTTTCTTTCAGATTGACTTATTCCCAGAGGAGGGATTCTTTGTTTCTAATTTGATAATGGTGACTATTATCTCGTTTATTCTTTATCCTTTATTCTTTGATATTTTTCTTTTAGTTCTTCTAATCTTTCCTCAAGAGTTTGAGTCTGCTTCTTTTGAAATTTAAGCTCCTTTTAAATAATATCAATATCGTCGTTAAATATTTGAGTCTCTAGATGCATATCAGTGTTCTGCTAAATCTTTCTCAAATTCTGCTAATCAAGGTGCTCAGCAACTTGGTGAATAGTTTTCAGAGTTACATGCAAATTATCTTTTTTGTTTATCCAACCATGTTTATTTCTATTCCTATTTTAAAACTCTCGCTCAATCTTGGCCATTATCTCTTTTAGCTTTGTGTCAAATTTCAGTTAAGTTGAATCTCTATGTTTTTCAAGATAGAGACTCACCATACTACTTAACTTATTGCCTTTGTATTATACCTATTGGTATGTCTTCTTAATCTTTTTCTAAACATAGGTTTCTTTAGAATCATCATCTTTTTAGATCTCTACTTATTGAGGATGTTCTAGCATGCTTGGATTTTGATGTGGATTTGATAATCTTGGTGAAGAATTTTCAATAATGCTTCCAGTATATACAGTCATTACTGATCGCATTTCAGGGTTCACACTTTGACTAGTGAATAATTGAAGCTAGTCAGTACTTACTTATCAATTCATTGGACTTTGCTGATCATTAACCATTGTATACTTTCTATTAACTGGACTTCTTTATTTCTACTCTTAATACAATTCTTTCAAAATAGCAAGCAGATCGTTCTCGTGCTTGACATAGCAAAGAGTAATATAGGTTCTATGCTTGATCAATTTTTAACTTATTTCTTGTTCATTCTTTAGCAATGTCAATAAAATCCTTTCAATGTCAATGTACTAATCAACTTTCAGTTTATTAAAAGGAGTACCTCTTTTTATATCCTAAATCACTCCATAAATAATGTCCTTAACATCATAATTTTTTGTTTAATATTCATGGGTGTGTCCATATTCTCTCAATAAAACAGTACTAGAATACTTATCAATTATTGCCTTCTCTAAGCCCTTGTCAATGTTTATTTTTACTTCTTTGAGAAGTTTTGATTCTTTCATTTCTTCTACTCTTAAAATCTAACTGATTGATCTATTTAGCCTTTCACCCTTACTCAATAAAATGTCTCTAGCTGGATTAGTTAATACTCTAGAAGTATGATTATATTCATTTTTATTCACTACTCTTTCTAAAGGTGTCTCAACCAGCTCATCTCCAATGTACTTTGGGGTTATGACTGTTTTTTGGAATCTCAACTTCTTAAACTCAGTGGACTTAGCTTAAGATAATCCTTTACTATTTCCCTATCTACTCTTTCCTTATCCAGGCATATTTCTTACGAAATCAGAGAATACAGTTCCAGTAGGATTTCCATTATTTGTTCTATAAATTGATTGCATTCTTTAAAATTGATGTTTGCTATTATCATCAATAAAATTTTAGGAAGTCCTTTGATGATTTAACATCTTTTAAGTTTTATTCTATATAAATAAAGTATACTTTCGAAAATTTATGGATTTTACTATTTCAACAATTAATATGATGGGGTTTTGGGGTTTTGGGGTTTTGGGGTTTTGGGG